TAACAAGTATTATTATCATAAAACTACTGATTAATCCCTAGAGTGGTAAAATAATACGTTGCAAATTCCCCCTACGTTCCCCCCTTGAACCTTGAGAATAATTCCAAATAACCAAACTTTTGCATGTAGAAACTTGAATCAATTGTTTTTTAATAGTACATTTCTTTAATGTAATATTTCAGGATTGAGGCGTATTTGTTGTTGCAAGCCAACTTCTAATACAAAAATGGTAAAGTGTCCTTACATGTCGGTGATGAGAAGGCTAACAAGCTCAGGTGACACGTAGTCAAAACCGGGGTTGACAACTTGAACAAGAGGAGCCCTACTATCCATTCCAAAATCCATGCAATTGGAAAATTGCCCAAATTCCAGAAGTTCAGCAGGGGATCTCATGTCATTAAGACAAACCTCTGGATTGTGTGGATATGAAGGGCACAACTGTAACAGAAAGAAGACATTTAAAAGGATTAACTAATACTAAATACAGCCAAAAGTAGAAAAAGAGTGTGTATTAGGCGGCAAATGTAAAAGTTTGTAACAAATTCAAGGGTTTGCAAAGCCTAATTTCAAGGGAACAGAATCATATTTTCCACAACATTTCAAGGTTCTTAACATGATTTATTTAGCAAACCAGAAAAACTGAGGTCTTGCCGTGTTATCAGATGCCTTCTAGTTCGGGAGTGACAATCAGCGAGATGCATAAAAACCGCCAATTGTTAAAGAGTTAAAGGAATAGCCACTTAAATAGCTGGACAGCACAAGTCTGATACCTCACAAGATTTCGATCTTTTTTCTCCCTCCCCTTAATTAAACCTTTTTGACAGTTAAATACATGGAAGAGCCAGTAAAGCTCAGATACCTTGTGAATGCCGGCAACTACTACAAATGGAACAGCATGCTTTTGAGCTGCAAGTGCAACCATGTTCATACCAACAGGTGCAATGACACCGCCATTGGCCATTATTGCATGAACTCCCACTATAACCTACACAACAAGGTTAGGGTTCTAAGCACAGGTAGCCCAAGTACAGATTGATAGTAGGCATAAAATAGCAAATCCAGAAAGTTAAGTACCATATTTACTCTAGAAATCATTGCAAAAATAGCAGAATCTGTTACTACTGTAGCTTGTAGACCTCTTCCTACCAGCTCTTTTGCAAGAGCATGCCCCTGGTACCTGATCAAACACAGACGGAGAAGGGAAAGTTCGCGGTTAATATGATAAATAAATTTCAAGATTAATTTATTTCTTGGAAATTGCAGAATACTCCACAAACCTTGGTGCGCCCTCTGCAACAACCACCCGGAAAGACCGTTTTTTCTCTTTTGCGGCACAGAGGAATTCCAAGGCAGTTCTTGAACTACCTAATGTTAGTATTACTTCACTGAAAAAAAGTGCATTTGTTAATGAGCTATCACATTTGATTAGAAAAGACATGTCCCATACAACTATGCAGCAATATGCCCGCAAAGGGGGAAAAAGTACGAAAAAATACATTAGAGGTGAAGGTTGAAACCGCGAAGAACATTTGAGCTGCAATTAGGATCGAAACTTTATCATCCATGAGCAATTGAGGAAGGCCATCCACCATAAATTTTGTAAAATGTCTAGGCTACCAACCTAAATTTGTCATTTTCACAGTACTTTCGGAACATAGATTTGTCACTGATGTGAAAGAATGTGTAAAATTTATTAGGTAAAATGTCTATCCAGCAAGTAGCACTTGTCACAAACCCAGGCTGTAAGCCCTGTGTCACTGTAAAGGGAAAACCCTTGGAAGGTAAACTGGCGAAACAGTGAAACAACAATATCCATTGAGTGTGTTCAGTTCATACTATAATGTTACTTGAAATATCTAGTATGCATTACTTATAAAAAAAAGAAAGATATCCAGTATGCATAACACGATACAGACGTATTCTCCAGTATGCTGTAAAAGGTAAGTACTTTTGATGAATATGCTCAACTGCCTGCTCTGCGATCAGCTCATGACAAGTATCGATATCTTCAATTAGTATGTTAATTGCCTCAATGACGTCATGTTTTAACTTCCGAGTCCTGGCAAGTTTATCAGCTGCAACACAGAATAACAGATAATTCAGTGCTGAAACTAAAAAATGATTGCTGTTATAAATTGCTTTAAACTCATGTAACACAGGAGCGTTTACCTTTGCTTTTCTCTTCAGAATCTCCACCTGAAGAGGAGGTGTATATGTTACTCGGTAAAGCTTTATCGGGCATACTCTCCAGAAGTGCATGCAATGAGGGAGATCGTAAAAAGCTTTTAGCCGCAGCTGCTGCAGCAGACTGAATTGGGTCACAATCGTGGTCTATGGTTCCTTCATCATCACTTGCAGCTGATAAATCTAAGTCGCCTGTTTTACTGGCCAAAAGAGAAAGATCCTCCTCCCGGATAATATGAAGAACACGCCTAACAATATTTCCAACAGCAAGCTCTGCAATTTCATCAAATTTTTGGTTATATTATTCTTCGCATAACAAATATGATTACTTAATCTGGAATGCTTTTATTAAAGGTCATTAATTCTCTATGACTTCTCATTTAAAGTACTGTTGACAATCCTTGTCACTGAACCAACGACTGGAGAACACATCTATCTGGTTTAAAAGGATATATATGAATAAATGTATATGCATGTATGTATGCATATATATACATAAATCCCCTAGTAAGTAGAGTGACGACGAATGAGCGATGACTTCCATGCCTAAGAAGATGTGCAGAAGTACACCTAATATGCTGGAACAAGTTTGAACATATGAAACGAACATAAGTATAGCCTTAATATGTTTGAATAACAGTGAAGCTTCCAGTAGATGTACCAATAGAGGACGATGACCACTTCTAATCTCACTATGGACGTCCTGAATGTTTTTCTCATAAAGAGTTGTAAATGCAGAAAATCTATGCAGCAATTAGTACTCCCTCGTCTCATTTTAGGTGACACACTTTCCTTTTAGTTTGTCCCCAAAAAGATAAGTCATATTTCTGTATTTGGAAATTACTTAAACATATCATCTCTTACCCTTAATGACATGATTTGTTGGTGACCAACTTGACATAAAAGTTCACTTTTTTATGAGGAGAAAGAAACATGAAAGGTGGAATTCTCACCATCACGCATTTGATTGTTGGTAGTAAGGTTAATGTTGGTAGTTTGCACACATTTAGCTTATGTGTCAAAAGCTTCTTTTGGTTCTGAAACTCAGTGCTTGGTCAAACACCACCACATAAAATGGAATGGAGGGAATAACTTTTAGTATGAATGAATATACATGACGAGTAACAGGTGGAACCTTTTATCAAATGCAATTTACAATGGGGAAGCTAGCAACCCCTTCCAATCATGGTGTTGAAAGAGGTTATGCTTTCTCAATCAATATTTCTATGGACTAAAATATACCCATTGTGCGAAGAATCAGCTAACACCGGTC